TCCCCAAAGGGAAGGCATTCACATCACCTCGGGTCAGCCCTCAGCAGATGTCTGAGGGTCAAATGGAAACAGTCCCGCTCCTTCTGCTGCCCTTTCCATCTTTCACAGCTCCATCCCCAGCGCATCCCCGCCGGGCTAAAATACGCGGAACATACTTCTCCGCCCAGAGATTGAGCAGAAACCGTTCACACTCTCAGACTGACTTCTCGGGGCCTGGCAAACATCAAGAACAAGCCTTGTTTGGCAGCCTTAACTTTCATCAAACTGCACTCCAAATCATCAGCTTTGTCATATGGACCTGCTACGCAGCGGCGCCTGAAAACTCAGAATAAAGCCGTTAAGCCAAGGAGCACAGGCAGGCGTTTTTCTCTCTGAAGGCTAGGCAGGATGAAATATTCACACTTGCTCCGTGACATTCATTTTTACATACCCTAGCCCTCGTCGGCGCAGGAAACGCACACGACAGAAAATTAAACATCCAAACCGAACAGGAGGAGTCTTCTGCTCATTTCTGCCGAGACCTGCCAGGCCCTCGGTCACCTGCCTTCCACAGCCTTCATTTCTTCTTCATAAGCACCAACCAGACATTTTGCAGAGATGCAGAAACCGCTTCCGCCCCCAAAATACAGAATAAACCGCGACCAGCCCTAAACCCACCCCAGGAAGTCTGCAATCGGGGTCTGAAATTCCCCGTGCCACCAACTGCCACCCCTACCCCACCTCAAATCACAGCCTTGGCTGCAGACCAGCTACACCCAAAAAGCCGCCCAAAAAGAGGGAGAAGCGTCCTTGGAGCAATCGGCGTCAGGCTGCAACCCACGGCTCGAGCTCCCGCAGCGTTACACCACCAGCCCAGTCCTGCAGCCTGCATTTTCACGCTAATCCCACTCTCTAACTCCTTGCCCATAGAAAATCCGCACGGAGACACCCAAAATTTCAGCATTTCGCTTTCGAAACATCCCGTCCCAGCACCCAGCTTACCACAAAGGGCATGGCAGGATTCACAAACACACAGAGCTTTACAGCACCTATTTTGTGGATCGTTTAGCCAAGCTTGCCGTCAACATCTGTCAAAGCCACAAAGGCTGAAGATTATCGATAGATTTCAATTCCCTAATCTGAATTTTTGGACAGCCAAGTCCTTAAATCTTCTTTTTTTGACAGCTTTTGGGTTTGCCCGAAAAATGGTGTTTGTACTTGATAAAAATACTATTGGAAACCAAATCCCAAAGAGTACACGCCAGCACTATCAATGCTCCAATATCTTTCCTCTGTGAAGTTTCAAGAAACCTCCAGTTACTTTATAAGTTAACTTCACCTTAAATTATAGAAAAATTGCAGAAATTACAGTGGACAGTAAAGAAAGTAATTTTCAAAAATAGATGAAAAAAAATCTCATTTATATAAGCTTCATTTTCCATATGATAGAACAAGATTGCTATTAATCGCAGAATCACAGAATGGTCGGGGTTGGAGGGGACCTCTGTGGGTCACCCAGTCCAACCCTCCTGCCCAAGCAGGGTCACCCAGAGCAGGCTGCACAGCACCGCGTCCAGGCGGGGCTGGAATATCTCCAGAGAAGGAGA